GTGGGGAGAATATTATCCATGGTGGTGGAAAATGGGCACTGGTGGAGGGATGGGTATTTGATCATTGTATAATCGAAACCCAAACACAAAAAATTGTAAATCTACAACTGTACCTCATGGTGTTTCACTAATATAATAAAAAAATCATATTATTTTAATAATCTTAAATAATGCTCTTTTTTTACTTTCATTTTGATACTTGTGAAAATCCCACCACCCCAGTAAGCACCAAGGTTTCTGATAACTAACCCATACTCAAAAATAAAATCTTTAGCTCATTCTTCCCATTCATTTTCCTTTCCCTCTGGTAACACCTTACTTTTCACTGAGTCTAGTAGTTACTTTTGTCATTTCTTTGCCAGGTCAGTGTATTTGCTTTAGATATTTGTATTCTATCCATGAGTAAAACCATATAATAATTCTATTTTAATTCTTTCCTTACTTCACTTAATATAATCAGCATAAGTTGCATCCATTCTGTCCCAAAAGGCAGGTTTTCACCTTTTCTAGTCAAAGCAGTATTCCACTGAGTATATAAACCACAGTTCCATCAGGTCATATATTAGTGGGCATTTCAGTTGATTCCATGTTCTAAGAGTTTTTTTTAACTTTCATTTCTACAACTATTATTCAGGCCATACCTAACAGTGCTCAGAATTGCACTTGAAATTGAACCTAGAACCACGAGACGTGTGTTCTAGTACTTGACCTCTATATTCACCTTAAGAATTTTTATTTATTTAATTGTTTCATTACAGTTTATGCTCTTAAAAGGCAAACATCCACACATAATACCCAATGAATGCAGCACACATAATAGTTCCCCAATACATGTTTTAAATATAATGACCTCCTGCTAAAATGGTATAAACCAGTGTAATAAATAACTCATACAATCTTATTTTTTTAGATACTGAATAAAGATAAAATAAAAACTAATGAAAAATGCTTTAATTAATATATTCCAATTTACTTTGGACATAGGTGATTTAATATGGACATGACTATATTAAATGGCTTCCCCTCAAGTCTGAGAGTACAGAGAATAAGACACTTGCCTTGCTCATGGAAAATACAGGTTCCATTCCTTGCGATGCATATGGTCCCCGAAGCTTTGCCAAAAGTGACCCCTGTACTCAAAGTCAGAGTAATGTGTGAGCACAGAGGAATGTGCTACAAAAATCACACCTAAAAAGGGTTATCTAACAAAACTGTCAGTTTTCTCCATACTTACATTGTGTTCTTCCTTTACCACATTCCATCTTCATCCTGTGGCTGTGGTCCTGTGTCTATATAATACTGCCAAACTAAAATGCATTTTGTGATGTTTTTTGGTGCACATAGAACCCATCTCCTAATTAGATTTATTTTGGGGCCACAGATACCCTTTGGGGATAACTGCTTTCTTATATTTCCAGTTTCTTTCCTGTACTCATCCTCTTTGATTTTATCATATAAGCAGGATAAGAAGAATCAATGACTTTTAGATACAGAAATCTCTCAAAGTGAGCTGTGCTCTAGAAGGAAGACATCTAGAACCATGAGCTCCAGTTTCAAGCACTCTTATTTGTGTAAGAATGGGAAAAATACCAAGAAGCAGGATTGCTGCCATGATGCTGTTTCACATACTGCTTTCTCTAGGAGAAGAAGGGACAATGAGTGGAATGCTGAGACACTATATGTCACATCGCTCATCCATAGGACCAGTTAGAGTTACAAAAATGAAGGCCATATAAAAAAATTAGAATTAAAGTCAATATTAGCAATAGACACTTTGAATATCATGCTTAATTTCATTGGTTCTCCAGTTTTAACTGTTGGTTTTGTATTTTTTGAACCAACACATTTCTTATTTCTTATAAGCTCTCCCGTCCAGTGAACAGCTAAAATCCACAGGGAAATAGCTCTAGTAATCTGGCAGAGAAATTTTGTGGTTGAAAGCATCAGAGAGAAATTTCAGCCAAGAAAAGAGTATTTAGAACAACTAAATCTCCAAGGAAAGTGAATGACTTGTCCTTGGATATTCTAGAAATATTTCTTCTAGTTTTTAGTATAACTATAAATGTTTATGGAAACATTTCTAAGATAGTACTTTAATACTACCTATTGAGCACTATTCATACAGATTACTTTACCAAATAATTTCTAAACTGAATCGTATGGCTTTTGTTTCTCTTGCCTTTGGAATATCTTATAGAAAATATTGTAACCAGATTTTATTTTTGTCAAATAATAATGGCAATAATCACAGTCTCAGTAGTTGTCTCTTTGTGACTTACTTCATTTTCTCAGTCTTGTCAATTTTTACAACCTTCAATTTAATTACATTTGATGCTATTATTATTATTATTATCATAGATAAAAAGTCTTACTTAAATCAGTTCCTCACTGGGAAAATAAACATAAAGCAATATAAAGTGATAGAGCCAGGATTTGTATTCTGACAACTTAGGGAATCATCTTTCTAAAAGTGTTCTCTCTGGTGGAATTTTCTCTTCAAATATGAGTTTTATGAGATCTAATGACACAAAGGAATAATGTAAGTATAACTTGATTCAGTAAAGGAATCAAGTATACCCTCTTCAACAACTTTGTAATATTTGTCATTTGCTTGAGCGGGCCCAGTAACGTCTCCATTGGAGACTTTGTTGTTACTGTGTTTGGCATATCGAATACGTCACAGGGAGCTTGCCAGGCTCTGCCTTGCGGGTGATAGCACAGTGGTAGGGCGTTTGCCCTGCACGCAGCCAACATGGTCGACCCGAGTTCAATTCCTCCGCCCCTCTCGGAGAGCCCAGCAAGCTACCAAGAGTATCTCGCCCTTTGTCATTTACAGTTCAATAATATGCTCTTTTTTGTTGTTTGCTTGGTTGTGGTTTTGGGGTCACACCTAGAAGTGTTCAGGTTTTACTCCTGGCTCTATGCACTCTTGGAGTGAATTAGGATACCATGTGGGGTGCAAGACATTGATCTGAGACAACCACTGTAGCACTGTAATACTGTCATCTCATTGTTCATTGATTTTCTGGAGCCGGCACCAGTAACGTTTCCATTGTGAGACTTGTTGTTTTTGGCATATCGAATATGCCACGAGGAATTGAAAGAGCTATGCTTGGAATATTACATTTCACTCAAATGAGAGAAAGAATCCAGTCGACAATCAAGAATCAGGGACGCTGTCTCGTTTGCCAAGGTGTCAAAAATCAGATGGGCTGGTCACGTAATGAGATTTAGAGATGACCGCTGGACTAGAGCTGTTACCGACTGGATTCCACGGGATGTCAAAAGACCGCGTAGCTGCCTACCTACCAGATAGTCAGACTTCTTCATCAAGATCATGAACAATCAGTTTGAGGCTCTTTGTGTTCCTAGAACGAACAGATGCCATTGGGCTACACTAGCATGCCACAGGGATGAATGGAGATGTTACTGGCGCCCGCTTGAGCAAATCGACGATTAACAGGAAGTCAAGTGAAGTGAATATGCCACGGGGAGCTTGTCAGGCTTCTCCATGCAGGCGGGATACTCTTGGTAGCTTGCCAGGCTCTACGAGAGGGACGATGAAATCAAACCCGGATTGACTGCATGCAAGGCAAATGCCCTGTTGCTATCGCTCCAGCCCACATAAAGAGACAGCCACAAAAAGACAAATTCCTCATTCGCAGCACTATTTCTCTGGCTCTCAAATAAGGAAAAAAAAATAAGATATTTTATATTTTGGAATGGTGAGAACTAAAAGGTGAAATGAAGAGTCCAGTTCAAGAATATGCCATAGCAGGAATCTCACCTTGTCTCCACGATCACTCTTAATCTACAGGTTTATATGTAACAATCGTGTGTGTGTGTGTGTGTGTGTGTGTGTGTTGGGGTTGTGTGGGGTGCACAAACACTAGTTAAATAACTCACATGCATTGGATGAACAGGAAAAAACAAAAACAATGAAGTGTATAGGAGAATTTAGTAGTATGTAATCGCTTTAGAAACCACGTCCTGAGCTCATAAACCCACTCTCAGATTATTTAAATCTGACCTCACTCAATCCCATATGTGGCACCTAGTGTTAAAATACAGGGATTAAATCAGGACTGGATATGCTCCAAGCATGCACATAAATCTCTGTACTATCTCACTCACCCTAAATTTGCTTATTTTAAAGTATCAGCTTGAGGAGGAGACATCTAATTTAATACAAGAACAAGAGTCCGATGAAATACTCTCCAAAGAAGGGGGCCCATATGGATGGACTGTGTGCGTGTCCACATACTCTCTCTCTCTCTCTCTCTCTCTCTCTCTGTCTTTTATTCCAGCTCATAATTGTATCCTTAAAATTAGCCATAATGTTTGCTGGACACCTCAACTTTTACAGCTGTATCCCTGATGACATTCCTGGGTCTTGCCTCTCATAACCATAGATCTTATGGTTATGAGATCAGATTAGAACAGATGGGAAAAAAAAGCAAAGAGTCAGCAACCACCCCAAGGCACAGAAGACTGGAAAAAGTCTGAGGCCTTAGTCTTAAAGAACCATAAAAGCAAGAACAAATTAATCCCAAGTTAGTAGAAAAAATAATGATGAGTTCATAAATATATTAGCAGAGACTGAAAAAATAATAGAGCAGTACCATAAACTATGATTTGGTTCTTTGAAAAAATAATAAAATTGACAAACTTTTAGCTAAACTCAGGGAAATAAGGAGAGAGTACTCACATAATTAAAATAAGAATTTGAAATGGAAACATTACTATTGATTGTTCAAAAATGCAAACGGTTTCATTTAATGCACAATTAAATGAAAACAAATTGAACAACCTAAAGACATGTATTTTCTTTCCCAGAAATATATAGCCTACCAAGTTTGAATAATCAATAAATATAAAATATTAAGTTGACTGATAATGAAATTGAAAAAGGAAATAAAAATAAAACTTCTAACATAAAATTTCAGTATCAGGCAATGTATTTGTGAATTAAACCAAAAAATCATAAAAGAATTAATACTGTACTCTGGATTCTCTTCAGATTGCTTAAATATATGTGTTTTACTAAAGATTCTAATGAAGAGAAACAATTCTGAGTTTTGAACTAATTTTTTGAGGCCTTGCTTCTGTAAGGCCTTAAAAAACATGCATTGTAAAGATTATCACCATGTTCAAATGGCTTTGCCATACAAAAAATATTCGACATGAAATTCAACAAATACATGAACAGAATAAAAATAAAAATCATGATCACAATAAAGATGCAGAAATAAACAGTTGACAAAATTCATCATCCCTGTCCTATTTTAAAAATTCTCCCAACACATTTTACAGAGGAAATGAAACATAGAAAAGACAACATGTTTGATAAGGCTAATAGTAAAATCCTAAGAATATTCATTCCAAAGTCAGGAAAAAAGAAGTGAAGGATGCATCTAGCTATTGTTATTCAGCACAAAACTGGAAGTACTAACAAGAGCAACTGGGAAAAATTAGGGGGAATCAAAATTGAATACAACATAACAAAATGGAGTTAAGTAGATAGATTCTAGGTACTATGGTGCCATTGATTAGTTATATGACAGTCATTTATAACAGGAATGTTAATTTTTGATTTTAAAGGAAAAATAACACCGAAAAAGTAACACCGAAAAGTAAAGTATAACAATCAACATACCTGTTTGTATTGGTTAGGGCCCTAACAACACTGCACTTTATGTGCCTAAATTTTTGGTTATTTTAATGTGTGTGTAGTCGCTTGACATCCCGTTACTCATCAATTTGCTCGAGCGGGCACCAGTAACATCCCCATTCGTCCCTGTCGTGTGCTAGTGTAGCCCAACGGAGTCTGCTCATTCTAGGAACATGAAGAGCCTCAAACCAATCCTTCAGGGTCTTGACGAAGAAGCCTGGCCATCTCGTAGGTGGGTGGCCACATGGTCTTTTGACGTCCCGTGGAATCCAGTCAGTAATGGCTCTAGTCCAGAGGTCATCTTCAAATCTCATTATGGGTCCAGCCCATCTGATTAATACCTCACCGGCAGACATCCACTACCTGCACTACCTCCAATACCCAGCCACTGCCATGCTCAGGACGCTTTCTGGACTGCTTAATATCCATCTCCCAGGATTGCCACACCATATTTGATAGGGTTCAAATATGGTTTGAACCATGGGAACACCTAGAGGGGAAATTAGAGGCCGCCCCAAAATTCCTATCCCTCTTGGAGAGCCTGGCAAACTACCGAGAGTATCCTGCCTACACGACAGAGCCTGGCAAGCTATCCGTGGCATATTAGATATGCCAAAACTAGGAAATACAATGGGTCTCATTCCCCTGACCCTGAAGGAGCCACCAATATGGCAGCATTGACAAGGATGTGGAAGGAGAGGCTGATAGAATCTCAAGGCCAAACTGGGCTGCCAAAATGAAGTGGGTGTAGTAGCAGAGATTTAACCAGGGTCCTCACACATGTAAAGCAAGTGTGATACCCCTAGATACATCCCTAGACAGACCATTTTATGTGGATTAACTCAACACCATAGAAACCAAGAGTAGCACGTCCTCTATGTAGGTTCCTTTACACAATTCAGATCAGACATTGATACTGAAGCAATCTTATACAGTTTACTACCCCAGCAGTTGGTACAATTATTTTTTCGAATCAGTTGGCTAGTTGAATTTTGAGTGATAAAGATAACTCATGAAACGAGAGTTGAATAATCAAACCACACAGTGATTCTTTGGGAAAATAGTTGGCTACAATGTAAAAATTATTTGTAGCCATAGTTCTCAAATTTCAGGTTTTATCGGTCTATCCTTCTTAAGCAATGAAAGGAACTGACAGAAATATAGCCTAAGCTTTCAAACAAGTATAAAGGTTATTAAAAACATACAATTTATAAGCATTATTATATTAAAAGAAATACATGAAAACACCTTACAGCAGTGAAAGAGGAAGCCTCAGTTTCCATTGCCTGCTTCTGTGAGCAGCTCCATCTTTGCTGTCCCCATTCCACATTTTAAATACATCTGCAAATCCCTGACCTCTTTCTGAGAATGGGAAATGAACAATATTCCAAGATCACAGTCTGCCCCAGACCGTAGGCTCACAGGAAACCAAAGAGAAATGGGCAATATTTAAGCAGATGGTCAAATAACCTAAAAGGCCTTAATGTAAAGGCCTGATGCCAACCCACTCTAAAATTCTTGCCTCCTCTGTAACATTCTTGTCATTTGACTAGTAACACAAAGGCCCAGGTTCCTAACCCTCCCCTTCCACCCCTGACAAAGCAAACCCTACTTAATCCTGTACTAATTTCTTCGCCACATAAGGAATTTCCATTATTTCTCTTCTACTTTCCAAGAAGATTTTATTTTCTCTAACTCTGAATCTGAGAATCTTTATTACTCAACATTTTCATTCTTGAAAATATTGAAGAATCTGGAAAGCGTGGATGAACAGAGACCCACCATCACAACTCCTGCATCAGTAAGGAAGATGCAATTTCAGGGTAAAAAGCAAAATTGTTATAGTAATAAATTTGTCATTATGAATAAAACACTAAATTTTTTCCTCTAAATTTTTTTTCTAATTTCATGTCCAAAAATGACACATTTTTGGTGCTTAGATGTAAAAGATGTAAAAGACAAAGAGGAAAAGTTGAATGCCTGGAAATTAAAGTGTTTCTCTACTGCGTCTTTGTCTCATCTCATCCATGAACACTCATCTTTTATAAATCACCTTAGAGTTGTTAATTTAACTCCTTAGCTCATCTGAAACTCATATCTCTGAGGAGAGCTGGGAATTAGAAAGGATTTCTTCATCTCTAAAGGCCTACTATTACCTAGAAATACCTAGGGTGAGTAGTACTTAATTTATCCCTAATTAGATATATATTTAACACATATTTATGTATATATTAGATAGTGTGACTTCTGTAACTTGGATATTAGAAATGATATTTAATAATAAAATTAAATGAGAATTTAGTAATCACTATGATTAATCAGAAACTTCTCTCATTTTATTCAAAATATATAAAAATAATTTTAAAACAATGTATATTAAAATCTGGGTGATATAATACTTTCTAAGGAGAATTAAAGCTGATAGTAAATACTTTTTGAAAATGTTCTTCCTTTACTAATGAAAGTCCTTAAGTATCCTGAGATACATACATAAAAAATAAGAAGTTAAGGACAGTGACTATATCTTATGTTTGGTTATATCCTTAAAAATTATTTTTTACTATTATTTAAAGACTGTATAATTTCTTTACATCACTTTTCCAAATTGAATTAAGGGGTCTGGAAAACTGCATAGCTGTCAAAGTACTTATCTTCCATGTGGCTGACGTGAGATTGATCTCTGTCACTACATTTGGTCTGTGAGCAATGCCAGAATGATCTCTAAGAAGAGACACGAGTACACCTGAGTATGCCTAAATATATATGAGCACAATCAGGTATGGCCCCCCAAAATAATAACAATGAATTGATTTAAGTTTACTATTTTTCAATACTACATTTCAGGTGATTTGATGATGGAAACTTTTACTTTCTCAAAATAAAGCTGCTTTCTAGAGGAGAAAGTGCAATACAGTGAGGAGGGTGTTTGACCATCTGTAGTTTATAAATAAAAGATATTAATAAAATACAATTATCTGAAAGAGAAGTTTAACATAAGAAACGATGGAGTCAATACTGAGATGCAATATATGCTACTTGGGGGTCACTCCCTGCCATAAACAGGAGACCATGGCATGCTGGGAATGGAACCCAGGCTGGCAGCATTCAAAGCCTGCACACAGCCCTGTGAACGTCCTCCCAGCCCTCCTACTCCTGTTCTTTTTTAAATGATAAAAGTCCCTGACAAAATAAGATTGGGAGGAACCGTCCTGAAGATAGTAAAGGCTATCTATTGCAAGCCCACAGCCAACATTATTTTTTTTTAAATTTTTGATTTTTTTGATTTTTTAAAAAAATTTTTATTAGTGAAACACCATGATGTACAGTTATAGACTTATAATTTTTTGTGCTTGGGTTTCAGTTATACAATGATCAAGTACCCATTCCTCCACCAGTGCCCATCCTCCACCACCACGGGTCCCAGCATCCCTCCCACCCCCCATAGCCCCTGTTCCACCCTGCCTCTGTGGCAGGGCAATCCCCCTTGCACTCTCTCTCTCTCTCTCTCTTCTTTTGGGTACTGTGTTTTGCAAGAGAGGCACTGAGTGACAATCATGTTTGGTCTATAGACTACTTTTAGCATGCTTCACCCACCCTGGGAGGGTCCTCACAACACCCTTTATTTGGTGCTATTTTATCTATCTGAGCTTCCCTTTCACCTAGCACGTGTGGCGTGGCTGGCCTTCAATTCAGGAGCAAAATTCCTGGTACTAATCTCAGCCATTCCTGGATGTTAGTCTCCCATTTTGTTGCTTTATGTTGGGTCAGGAACGAAGTCAAGGACAAAATCAAAAGATACCTGGAAACAAATGAGAATAAAACACAAACTACCAGAACTTATGGGATGCAGCGAAAACTGTATTAAGGGGAAAATTTATAGCTCTGCAAGAATATCTTAGATCTGTAGAAACGATGCACATAAACAACTTGACCTCACAGCTCAAGACCTTAGAAAAGGATCAACAGAAAGAGCCTAAACCAGGCAGAAGGAGGACAACATTATTCTTAATGGTGAATATCTGAAAGCATTGGTACCAAGATTGGGTACAAAGCAAAGATGTCCTCTGCCCCCTATCTTGTTCAACATTGTATTATAAATCCTAGCATCAATACATAGGCAAGAAAAGGAAACCAAAGAGATCAAAAATGGAAAAGATGAAGTCAAATTAACTTTATTTGCAGATGGCATAATATTATACATAGAATTACTGCATACTCCATAAATAAAAACTTCTAGAAACAGTAAGCCCATATGGCGAACTGGCCAGCTACAAACTCAATAAACAAAAATCTGTCACATTCTTATATATAAATAATGAATCAGAACAGAAAGAGATCAAAGGATCTATCCCATTCAAAATAGTGATTAAGAATATCACTGTAGCACAGTCCTCCCGTTGTTCATTGATTTTGCTTGAGCGGGCCCAGTAACGTCTCCACTGTG